ATATATATGTATGTATTTCATTTAATTATGGTTATTTAATACTATATGTTATCATTTTAATTTTCTGACTCTTAGATTAAATTATATCATTAGGTGTAAGTTTCAATTTCATGTAATACTTTATTTGACAAAGAAGCATAATATTTTTTTTATATAAAAAAAATGAAGCACAATATTTTTTTTATATAAAAAAAATGAAGCACAAATGAATGCAATAATTTGTATATTTCAAGGATGGATAATTTACCTTGTTCGTTGGATTCAGAATATAAAACATGAAAGTTTTTTTTTTCCTTTCTCCCACTTGAATAGGAGGAGGAGGTCGCTTGCATTGATTTGGAAAAACTAAGTTGTAGAACATAATAAAATTTTATAGCTTGGATGTCGAGAAGGATACCATTAAGCAGAAGAGATTTGCTTGTGCATAATTTTTATTCTTGGAACGAAAGGAGAAAAAATAGAATAACTATTTTACATACAAACCTTTATTGTTAATTAAATCGATCGGTGATATATATCCTCACTCTAATTTGGAGGCTTAAATTTATAGTATTTGGTTTGACGTAAATATTGAGTAGCTTACACACGTATCCCTCCATTTTTCTTTGCCTCTTTCGTCGTTTTGTACGTCTTTCTCACAGATACACGTATGAATACTAATCTTCGAGTGAATGAAGTCCATATATAAAACCTTAAAGCAAAAGCGAGTACGCAAGTAAGAAACCAAAAACAATCCAAAAAAGGCAAATTCCTGTTCTACCTGATCAATACTACTATAAAATATTCAGTACTAGTTTAATTTTAATCCATCCTCCTCTAGTTGTGATTTTCAGATATATATTTTATAGCTTCAGCTTCATCAGCGTCAGAGTCTAAAAGAGTCTCAGAGATATGAGCACTTTAACCATTTCTTTACTTCCATCAAAGCTCAACCCTCAAAAGGAAAGCTCTCTTTTTGTATACAAAACTACAAGAATACTGTCCAAAAACAGCCAATCTCTACTTCCTGTAATACTCATTTCCTTTTTGTTTATCAAAATTTAAATGTCAGATATTGTACTTGTTGGATTTCTCTGGTCAATATATTACTCAATATATATATGTGTGACTGATGATCTCAGGTGGCAAGGTTATTTGGACCTTCTATTTTTGAAGCATCTAAGCTGAAGGTTCTATTCTTGGGTGTAGATGAGAAAAAACATCCTGGAAAGCTTCCAAGAACTTACACACTTACACACAGTGATATTACTTCCAAACTCACTCTTGCCATTTCTCAAACCATTAATAACTCCCAGGTAATTCCTGCTTCATATTCATGTATTAGTACAACTAAATTAAAAAATGTAATTCACTTTCAGCTACCCAACTTTTAGGCAGAACAGATGAGGCAAAAAGGGAAAGATTCAGTTTCTACAATATTGTTTTTATTGGAATAGTTTTACTGCAAATTTGTCTTCTTGAGCGGAGGGTCTACTAGAAACAGACTCTCTACCTCCTGAGGGTAGGATAAGATCTTTGGAGGCCGTTTCCTTTTTTGCACATGTGATTGGTCTATTTGATTGTTGAACCTGAATTTACTTTGACGCGTTGGCCTGTCTGTCCCCAGTATCTCTAAGAAATATTTGGATATTTGATGTGCAGTTACAAGGTTGGTATAATAGATTGCAAAGGGATGAAGTGGTTGCAGAATGGAAGAAAGTTAAAGGGAAGATGTCACTTCATGTCCATTGTCACATTAGTGGAGGCCATTTCTTGTTAGACTTTGTTGCTACCCTCAGATACTATATCTTCTGCAAAGAACTCCCCGTGGTACGTACGTACGTTTTTTATACAAATTTTCTTTCCCGTATCAAATGTGATTCAAGTCATTTTTCATGTGAATTGTTTTACTCAAAATAAATTTCTATGAAACATATATATTTTTTCGAGTTTAGTTGATGAGTATTTTTATTAATCAAACACATTGTAGTGAGAGAGAAGAGGGAGGGGATTATATTTTAGGTGGAAATTAAATATTATTTGTGTGTGGGGTTGATTAATTCTCTACTGTGACAGTAGAGACACTAAAGGCCAGATAGTGAAATAGAGGGTTCTTTTACACAACATTTCAAAGTAGAGAAATAAATATATTTAAAAGCAGTCTTTTGACCTATATATATATATATATATATATATATATATTATATTATTTGGCACATGCACCAGGTTATAAAAGCATTTGTTCATGGAGATGGGAATTTGCTAAAGAATTACCCAGAGTTGCAAGAAGCTTTGGTTTGGGTTTATTTTCACTCAAATATTCCAGAATTCAACAAAGTGGATTGCTGGGGCCCACTCAAAGAAGCATCCTCAACTTCTGGTGAATTAGGTGAGACCCAAATGGGAAATACAAGTGCTACTACAACCACAAATTGCAACTTGGATTTACCACAACCTTGTCAAGAATCTTGCACATGTTGCTTCCCCTCAATGAGTTTGATTTCCTGGTCCTCTCATTCTGCTCGTTTACAAACTTTACAAGATTGATGTATTTTACTGTCCTTGTAGGACTGTAAAAAGATAATAATTCTTTATTCTAATGTAAATAATTGAAAAAATAGGCATTTGGTTTTGAAGAAAAAACCGGAGAAATTCCACGTGGGCTATGAGTCTGCCTCTCTACAGATATATCACACTTTGTCCACCAAAAGATTAGAACTTGTTACTTGCACACATCGTCCTTATCACTAAAACAAAACATGAGGGCTAAAGATGTTGATGCATAGTAGCCATGGGCTTGGATTGTATCTAGTGTTGCAGCCATCCCACGTTTCATTTTCTTGGTTTTGATGTTTTTCAAACGAACAGTCACATATGATAGGAATGTACACCAAAATGCCTACCAGTTAACATGGAAGGAATAGCAAATGAAGGGCTGCTTGCTATGAGAATGTGCAACATTAGTGTCTTTATTTCTTTTACACTGAAGTTCTGTATAACTTTTTTTCTTTTCAACATTCATAAAAAGCAGAGTAACTCAGTAGTCAGTTCTCTTCCATTATAATTGCTTATTTGCTTTAGTTTCATTTCCTTTCATATCTCTTTCAAGCCTTATTCTTTCAATGTCTAAACTAAGGGCATCCAAAATCTATGTTGGTATAAACCAATTTTGATGCATAAGTTACTGAGGCAGACAGCAGTAGGAAACAAAAGGTGAAAAAGAAATAGATCGGACTTCTTTACACCTGAAGCTGACAAGTTACGCTAGTACACCAGTTACCCGTGTACAATCAAATAGTATGTGAGCATCGGAGATCATTTGTTTTCATGAATTACAAGGAAGAAAATAGAAAAAGACAACTTTATGTACAAACAAGATCACAAGTTCGCGAAAAAATTGGATGTCCCCCAAAAAGAACACGCTCCCCTCTCCTATATTACAGAACGCCCGATGTTAATGAGAATTAAATAACATCTCCAACTGTACACTTTGATCTATTAACAGATTAATCACTCTAATACATGAATTTGAAAGACGATAGAGATCATCATCCTATCAGTTGAACATTAGGTCTTCCAGCTTCCTGCAACTGTTTCCCATTACAAGTATCTCTCATCAAACAGATCAGTTCGCACCTCTTCACTGCTTGTGCTTCACGATGAAACAACTTTAACGAGTGCCCAAAAATAATTACATTGCAGTCACCTGATTTTCGTTCTACCGAGAGAAGATGCCCCAATTTCAGTCTCGGTGTTCTGCATGGCCAATTACATTCCCATGTTAGATGTCCTTGCATTCTTTTGAAAGTCTAAATGAAGGTACCCTATAATATAGAAAGTTACTATCCTTTTACATATGCTTTACCTGAGATTTAGGAGAAGGGAAGACATTCCAAAATCGAAGTGTTTCATCTCCTGCTCCAGTCACAATCGTCTGCAAAAATGTTAATAGCAGTTAGAAACATCAGAGTAGAGAGAATGAAGCTGCTGCTGCAACTAGGCGACAAGTCGACAGAATTACATAGACAAAATTAACTAGTTTTGCTCAGCTACCTGTCCATCTGGAGAGATGACAAGATATAGGACTCTATATGTATGGCCCGTCAGAGTAGCTATCTGCATTAATTGAAAAAAGCATATGATGAAAGTTGAAACTAGTACAAGACGATATGTCTAACAAATAGATGTTTGTCCATATATTTTTTAGTGCAGCGTCACATTCTGAAAACTTAGGTGAAATACCTTAGACATTGTGGGATACCTCCAGAGTATTATTTGGTTTTGTGAGTAACCATGAGTGCTGACTAATTCATCTACGTTCTTCGACCACACAAGATTGCAGACCTGCCACAGTGTTGAATGAGTTAGCATATCTGAGTAAACAACACTTGGTGGCACTTGTAAATCTGAAAGTCCAAAACACCTAGAGAGACCCGGGAGGGAGGGGGTTGAGCAGGAATTGCGGGAAAGTTTTCTAACCTTCCTCACATGTTTACAGTTACTAGTACCTCGCACAATCCTTTACTGTCTACGCACACATATGACATATATCCCCACTCAGTATGTGAGAGTGTGTGTGTCTGGGGGGGGGGGGAGGAGAACGAACTTGTAAAACTGGTTCAAACATAAATATTTCAATGATTTTTTTTTATGAGCTCCTTTAGGGTATATTCCCAAGCTATTGCGATACTGGTATTTCCCGGGGTTATAGGTCAAAAAATCTGGACGATGGGGCTCTACTTCCTACTGTGCAATTCCGGTGTTATAGGTCTAAAAATCTGGATGATGGGGCTCTACTGCCCAATGTGCCTTTCGAGCTAGCTCTTCCTGATGGCACCTACAATGGCATAACTTGTCTAGATACATAAACCATGGGCACACCAAGCCCGAATTCCCAGCCCAAGGTATACTAATGGGGGAAGTCTTACTTTTAATTCCTCATATTTTGTGGATGAAATCACTTTTCCAGTGTTATTTGCTCTTACAGCAATTCCTAGACGCTTAGAATTTATCTGAAAAGGTTTTTTAAAAATCCGAGATTAGTTTGCGAATCTTTTGATTAGTTTCATTTATGTCTCGCTTCACTTTCCTTGGTTCCTCTCCTACCCTGTGAAGTGAATTACTTTCAAGGACCTCCTTCACAATGACACCTACTTCATCAAAAAAAGGATCTCCTTCACAATGAATGGTCCAAACATTTCTCCTACTCCCCTTTTCTTTTACCCTCCCTTCTCTCAGTCATATTCAAAGATTTCTGCAGTATCAGCTACGGGGGGAACTCTCCCAGTTCTTTAGCTGTTTAGGAACTTTAACACAAGTAACAGAATAGGTGCGTAACTTGAAAGATGAAAACCCCTCAGGGTGTTGATGGTAAATGTTTATGCAATTCTGATGTTTTTCTTTAATGTTATACCTGCAGAGGGCCTATACTATCAACAATAAAATATTAGTGCATTTTGCCTTGTGCACAAATAAATATAGATTCGTGGTGAAGGCCCTAGAGAAAGATATTTGAGATTAAGAAAGAGATGGGAAGAGGATGGGTGGTGGGGGTTAAAGAGGAAGGTCAAGATGGTTTGATAAGTCCAATAACAATGTTTTAAGAAATAAACTTGAGGACACTTCTCTCTTACAAAAAGGAGGACTGAATATGCAGCGTATGGTGTAGTAAGAGCAACATCCCTAATGTTAACAATCATCCTCATATAAATATTAGAAATGACAGAGTGAGGTCCCCGGTACTGTTTAAACCAATTTGAAAGGAAGTTCCTACTCTTGAATGGTGTAAAATGTGCTTGGAGATGGTTCCCAAGGGGATCGCCTACTGGTTAAGGCGTAGTAGTAACAACAGCTCTAACCCCAACTGCAACACTTGGGGTGTGCACACCGGCTCTAACCTTGGTGAGCAGGATTACCTTGGCAACCTGCACCGGGTGTGAACAGGTTGCCCAATGAACTAGTTGAAGTGCACTAAAGCTGACCCGATGTATGTTTGTATGCCCGCACGTGTAAGATTTAAACAAATTTTACACATAAAGGTCCACAAATTCTTAAAAAGCCAGAATTATCCTATCCATGGAATATGGTAAACTTGACGAACACAAACTTAAATGAAGCTAAACCAAACCTTTTTCTATTCTAAACGCCACGGAATGATCAGCAAGTGAGTTGAAAAGCAAGATTGTTCTCTTTTTTGAGATGGTAACAATTGAAAAGCAAGATTGTTCTTCTGATCACGTAATTAAGATAACACAAGTACTATCTTTTGAAAGAAAGAAAAGGTTGGTAAGATTTATCTAAGATAGGCAGAAATATAAAAGAGCTATTAAATATATGTAATAATAGGAAAATGCCTGACTGCCAGTGTCTATGCAGCTGAGGTGTGTATTAGTGGTTGTATTCCAGAATCGAATGCGTCGATCCGCTGTGCCACCACCAGAAGCTAGAAGCCCATGAAGATGAGGGGACCATGCAATCGCTTTCACAGCAGCCGTATGCTCGCAGTATTTTAACATAGGTTGTGTTGAATGGTTGTTCCACACTAAAAGCTGGTCATCAAGATTTAAGTGAGATACTGAATTACGAGCCTAAAGATAGCAAAATATCATCTAGCAAGTATCATGATCAGAAGAACTTGATTCTGGAAATTAACAACATACTCTGTTATCATTTCCACCAGAAGCTAATTCACGGTTATCATAAGACCATTTGAGCCCACAAACCTGAAAAGAAGTAGTTGCAATTAAGATGCAAGCAAAAGTAAAACAGAAAGTCTGATAAAAATGAGTTAAAAAAAGAGAAGCAAGTAGGAAGCCTAACCTCTGACCTGTGACCACTTAGCTTACTGACGTAATCTTCTTGAGCTCGTATATCACGCTGAAGAATACTCTTGTCCCGGCTTCCTGAAGACAATAGGGATGAGCTCCAAGCTAGTGCACCGACTCTTAGTCGATGTCCCTCCATTGTTCTTATCCTCTTACTGCAAGAGGCATCCCATAACTACGCCACATGAGATTCAAACACCCGTTAACCATGTAAACAAAGAGGGTACTACAAAACAATCCTATGTTTTTCATCCAATAGATTAGATTAGACCTAGAAATAAAATTTTCATGCACTTCAAAGAGAAATTTAAGTTTCATGCAATAAATTGCGCATGAATAAAGGAGAACAAAGATCTAAGTTATTACAGCAAGCGAGCCAATGTTAGCTTTAGGATGCCCGAATTCAGAGGACAAAGGTGAAAAGTAAAATTGTGTGCTTTCTGCTTTAAGCCTCTTGCTATTTCTTGCTTCAGAAAAATAGGGAAAAACAACTGCGCAACCAGCCCAAGCTTTCAAATAAGTGTTCCCGTGGAATTTACGTTGAATAGTAAAGTTCCTTTGTAACTTAATTTTGTTCATTATAAACACAATATGACAAATTCATGAAGCTTATATTGAAATCTTTTTCCTTTATATGCAATTCCAAATACTGCAGAGACAACAGCCACAGCAAGTTTTTCAAGTTTTATGCTACTTAATTTCATAGAACAAAATAGCTTATAGAATAAACATATGTAGAGAACATCGAGATAAATATGCAGCTTAGTGTGATTAAAGCACTTTATGTAAATACCAACACCAACAGTACTAGGACATGCAGTTTCCTTACGAGAAAGTCTATGTTTCGGATTCAGTAGAAAAAATCTAAGACTTAGAATCTGTGATTGGCTCCTGTTATCAGTTTTCTTTCATATAAAAGTAGTAAGTAAGATAACCAATTTAGCGTTCCAGACCTGAATTTTCCCATTACTTGTTCCAACAGCAAGATGTGTACCCCGCTGTGCCCACCCAACTGAACTAACATTATCATCATTTCCCAAGTCGCACAACTTCACGACCTGCATATTGCAATCGACAGAACTAAATTATGTTTATCAGCCAGATAGATGCTTAGATCGAGCAAGAGTATGTTAACATCTCCATGAAAGGAAAGAAAATGAAGCCAAAAGACTCACCTTGCTACTAGATGCATGCCACAGATATACACAGCTC